GGGGGGGGCACTAGCCATGGATTCAAGGCTCGTGCAGTGATGATCGCACGTGACAACATCTCTGTACGGTTTTATTCATGTTAGCTAATATTCTGCTTGCTTGTATTTGAAGTCATGGGTCAAGCACAGAGCGGCACGGAAAAGGAAGTGACTCTCCAACACATCCAGGGACTCTACCGTAAGTTTGCGACTGAATGTCCGAGTGGAAACCTGCACTTACATGAATGCAGGAGAATCTTTGGAATCAACCGCAACTCCACAGAAGAAGAATCTGCGTACATGGAAACTTTGTTTCGGTCCTTTGACATAAATCAGGTGATGTGGCAGTGTCACAGAATACAATGTTAGTGATGTGTTCAGTGTTTGTTGGTTATTATGAGTCTTTGTCTGACTGACGGACCCGTTTGCTTCTCAGGACGGTAAACTGGACTTCATGGAGTACGTGGCAGCGGTGCATCTTGTCCTTCGTGGGAAACTGGAGGACAAACTGAGGTGGTCTTTTAAAGTTTACGACAGAGACGGAAACGGTTGTCTGGACAGACAGGAAGTGAGACACATTGTCAAAGTAAGTATTCAGTCATTTATATTTGTGATTAAAAAATAAAAAAAGTATTTTCATCATGTTTGAAGAGTGAAATGGGCATCAACGTTTAGAATACTTGATGCTCTAACGAGACACTTTGTTCTGACGATATGGTCCACAGTCTCTCATTTCCACTGCTTATTATTCATAAATACTAGTTGATTATATTTGATTGACAGTGGACTGGCAACATGAGCAAACACACCACAAACCACCACTGAAATACAAACCAGTGAGAGCAGCATAGAGACCAAAAGTCAAACAGGAATCTCTCATGTGAAATAACAAAAACAGGTACAAGAACATGCAGAGCAGGAATCTGTTCTGGTGCAGGTCTCAGAACAATAAGATACGATTAAGAAACAGTCAAGGGCAGATCATTTTATTGTGTGCTTCAGAAATGTTGCTGCTTTAGATCTCAGATATCCCAAATTGAAATGAGTCTTTTTTTCCATCTGCTCAGATCATCTCCACGATAAAGAAGCACAAAGATCCGAGCATCTCGGGGGATATTGACGACATTTGTGACAGATTATTTGATGTGGTGGACAAGAACAACGACAGTAAGTTCCACGATTATCATAATACACATTCAAACATCCAGCTCTTTTCTTGTGCTCTCGTGTCTGATTGTTTCTCTGATGAATTGTAGGTCAGATTTCTTTGGAGGAATTCATCGAGGGGGCTGAGAGGGACCCGTGGGTGATGGATCAGCTCAAACTGGACATCGGGCCCTGTGATTGGTTCATTGAACAGCAGGAGAAGAATCCCTGACTTCTTGATGTTCGCCGTGTGTTTTCATGAGAAATGATTGGAGACTAAGTGACGGTAACAACCTGCCTTCAGTGTTCGGTCTGTTGTTTGCACACAGAAGCATCAGAGAAACGTTCATAGGGATAATCTCAGGGATTATTTCTTGGGTTGTGGGACGTGCCGACTGCTTGGAGATGCAGGACACAGACACACAAATGTCTTTTCAAGAGATCGTCCTTTCCTCTGACATGTTTATTAAAATCGGGGAGCGGCTGCATGGAGATCTCAAGCTGAAGTATTCCCCTCTTTGGTGCATCTGTTGATCAGCAGACTTAATTAAAAGTGGACGTATGTTTAAACACACTAATCTGCTTATTTTCTATTATGTGATATTGTTTTTTAATTTGATGAAAGAATTAAAGACATTGTTGTTTTGAGAAGCTGATGATGGAAGCATGTTGTTATTTGATAAACGCTAATAAATAAAACAATTTGTAACGGGGCAAGTTGAAATTCTTCTTCAGAAAAACATTTTTTATTAAAGAAGCACTCCCACATTTTGGGAAATACGCTTATTCACATAAGAAGATAAACGCCACTTTCATGTCCGTCCGCTAAATATGCAGCAAGGAGACAGTTAGCTTAGCTTAGCATAACTACTGGAAGCCGGGGAAACTCTAAAGCTCACCGACATGTTGGATCTCTCATCTGTACAAAAACTGAAGTGTAAGAACGACACGTCGTGGTTCCATGTGCTGAACTATTTCTTGACTCTCTGAAGTCTTCACCTCAAATGAGACTGGCTAGCTTCAGGCTAGCTGTTTCCCTCCGTTCCAGTCTTGATGCTAAGCTAAGCTAACCATCTCCCGGCTGCCGCTTCATATTTTATGGAAAACTAAAAAGCATTTTTACCAAATTGCCGATCAAATTCTTTAAAGCGTAACAGATCTCATAACTTCCTCCAAAAGAAGATATTTTAGAATTAAAATGTATTTTTTATACAGATATATTTAAGCATCGCAGTATACAAAATGTCAGTGTTTGTGATCACAGACCTTTGATGAATATAAACTGGTTAAAATTTCCACATTTGAAATGAATCAATTACATTTTAGGGTTTTGTTTCACGTTTTAAATCTTGTTTTGTCAACACGTTTGTCTCTGTACACAAATTACTGATTCTGTTTTTGAATATTAAACTTGTATTTAAATGGCAGTGATATTTCATTATCGTATCATCAGTTCATTCATAAACATTACGTCACAGTGTTGTCTGTGATTCTCTCATCACTGTGTGCCTGGTTTATATCTCCTCTGTGGTTTAGAGAGGTCATGATAAAAGAACATGACGGCAGTAACAAGGAGCAGGAACCAGAGGAGGAGGATAACACAAGTTAGATCAGTGACATCATGTTGTTGGCAGTCACTTTTTATGTCTGTTATCAGTCGTTTTTCTTTCTATTTTCCCCTTCTGTCAGCTGTTGTTGTACAAACTGTGTCCTCATCACCTTAAGTGCAAAATAAAGCCATAAAAGTGTGTGTGTGTGTGTGCGTGTGTGTGTGTTTTTTAACGTATGCATTACATACAGCATGTTGTAGTTTTAAGTGTTGAAATATATTTTGACTCCTGCATTTGTCATTTACAAAGATAGAACCATGAGCGCAGCTCTTCACCTCACGTAGACCCTGTGGGAGCTTTCATACGAGGGTTTAACCTGAACCACTATTCTTAGCCTGTAAGGCTCTTCAGCTAGTATCCTTTAGCTTTCACTGAGACCCCAACGAGAACAAAACAGACACACTGTGTTTTTGTTTTGTACGTTTTAACACAATTAAATTATTAAAAATAACGGGTTTTCCTGCAAGAGACCAGGCTTTGTTTTCGTGTAAATATTAACTTGTAAAGACCGATAAGACATCATGTGAGTTGTCCAACTCATATGGTTTTGCTGTTGTCCATACGGATATATTTGAAGAGTCTGCAATGTGTGTTTGTGATGTCAATGTATATCATACAGTTAGACAAAGAGTCTTAAAGGCTGAGATTAATCAGACGATCTAACTCCATACAGTCTAAGGTCCCATAGGGTCGACATGAAGAGAGTAGACTGTGTGACGCACCACCAGCCGCCACCAAGCTGCATTCAGAGTCAGCAAGCACAATACGTTACAGCATTTTGAAATATATAAATTAGCAAATATTACCAAGTTTGATTTTGACACAAAACAAAAAAATATATCATTTATTTTATAAAATATTCCTATTTTAAATTGTATTTTATGTTGTAGTCCCTGCTGCTAATTCAACTCTATAAATCAAACACAGAGTACCTAAACGTCTATCAAGACTATTGATCAGTGTGCTATTGATCACTATTGATCAGTGTGCTATTGATCATATATAATACATATATATACATCAGTTAAGTTTTTGTATGTATATATATATCATAACTTTGTTTTATAAACATAAAACATAAAAATACTGCATACGTTTAATTATATATACAGTAGATATATATATATATATATATATATATATATATATATATATATATATATATATATATATATCAATTAATAATTAATTCCATTTGTAGTAGCATTGTTGGGAGGGGCCTGGGAACAATAATTTCATCACTGTAATTATTGTGCCCATGATTTAAACTTCAGTCTAAAAAGGACTTGAAACAACCAAAGTGATCAGCGCGAGGCCGTTTAAATGAAAACGGAAACGAGAGGTAAGTTACTCTCTTGGTGTTTGTTTCCTCTTTGATGAGATAACAGGCCTCAAAAAGCACAGAAAGAGCTAATAGAGGACTTCACATCTACATAACTATATTATATATATTATATATTACTGCATGCATGTTGTACTGCATAATGACACAAATAAATCCATTGATGTGTTGCTTCCGGGACCTGTCACAATGGCCACAGTGCGCATGCGCAGCTTCTTCCTAGTTTGTCTGTTGACAAACGTGACCAAAGCCTCATCTCTCTCTGTTTTTGCAGTTTCGTCGCCCAGTGGAATAAAAACAATGTCTTTTCACAAGATCGTGTCGACGTTGTGAGGATTCAGGTGGACTATTCATGAAGTTGTGAATCCGGTGAGCACTTTAAAAGTAATATTTAACGGGCACGAGTTGTTTAAACGAGCTAATTCATCAGGTGTGGACAGTCAAAGAGTCACTTCAATGCTAGCTAAGTTAGCATGTTAGCAAGATGAAGTTAGCTAGCTGGATCAGCGTTAGCGGTAGCTGTAACTGTATATAACTATAACTGGTACTTGTTTTGAATAACCACGATCACCACGAGGCCTTCTTCTTCTGGTACAAGTGTGAAGCTTCTGCGGTGCTAGTCAGCTAGCTAAATCAGTTAGCATAGCATTTGGAGATCCTAGCTAGTGTCTGAGCTAATGCCAAATACCTTTAGCTTCCTACTGAGGACTTTTAGTGACGCTGTACTGTTAATAATCTGTTTATAATGGAAATGTGTCTCCAGCTCAGTCAGTAATATTATCTATACTTTATTTATTTATATATATATATATATATATATATATATATATATATATATATATATTTAGCCTCTGTCTGTTTTCTACCTTAATGTAACGCTCAGAGGACATATTCTAATAAACCATTACAACACAATCAGATGACCGTTCTGCAGCAGGTTTTTTGCATATTGCTCTTCACAAATAAGTACATTTATTTTGTGTTTGTGTAAATAAATTACATTTCAAACAGCCACAGAGGCGTTCAGGGTAACTGGTGCGAGAGAGGACCAGTTTGACCTGATTTAGTTCCCTCCCCCTCTGCCTCACGTGGGTTTGGACTTGTTCAACAAGATGAATGACTGTGGCTGATGATCAGGCACCATGTCAGTGAGCTCTACCGAACACCAGACTGGCCGGTTTATTGCTCTGGTTGTTCTGCTACGAGCTACAACAAGTCTTTAGAGGCACACCTGTCAGTCTGGTCCTGCAGTCTGTCTGACCCACATACCAACAATCTGTGGGCCGTCCTGAATCAGAATCAGAACCGTTTATTGCCAAGGAAGTTTCCACCTGCAAGGAATTTGTCGTGGCGGAAACACGAAAGCCTGTACTACACTTCATTTGCTATTCTTAAAGTGCTTCTAAATAATTAAATGAGAGAGAGAGAGAGAGAGAGAGAGAGAGAGAGAGAGTGAGAGTGAGTGAGAGAGAGTGTCGTCTTGTGTTGCCTGTAGTTCCATGAGGATGACCTGCTCACAAATTAAACACAGTATCCGTTCTGAGGTTTCTGTGTTATATTATGTGTAAATATAATATATTCTGTGTAAACCATGAAGCTACACGTGTTCACGGTTTTATGCGGTGTTCGTTGCTCTGTGAATTTAATTCATTTGAACTTGAAACAGGATGTTGGAGTTGACACTCATTCATTTGTATTCGATAGGAGAGGCTGGGTTGGTAAAAAGTCTCTTATTGGTTAATGAGGACAGTAATGAATACTGATCTGTTTGATTGAAATCAGTTTTTTCCATAATGATGATAAACCAGAGAACCCAAAGCTGATCAAATGGACACTTTTCTGTCTTCTGAATAATGTATTATTATACTGTGTGTGTGTGTTTTAGGTCTGAAGTGACAACATGCTGAAATGGCTTTCTGGTGAAGAGGGAGAGCCTGGCTCTGCAGTAAGTACACCTGGTTATTGTTTATTACTTCTATGTAATCTGTGTCGTCATTAAAAATCATCACGTTATTGTTATTATTATTATTATTATTATTATTAGAGAGAGACAGACACAAAGTACACCACTGGTTTAATAAGAAGTACTGACAGCAGACAGCAGCCGTGGTCATGTTTCATGTCCAGATAGAAGGATTAGTTAGACTGCTGAGCACGGGGCTTTGACTGGGGGGGGGGGTCACTGCAGCTTAAGTCCTGTTATTCCTCTACAGCCCATCTCCTTATCTCCACATTACATCTAGCTGTCATCACAATGACTGAGGACGTGTCATAGAGAGACATGTCTCATCTTTTCAAACACCCGTTAGCTTTCAGCTCAGACACGGTGGTTTGAATTCCTCTCTGCTGTCGACTTCAGAGAGAGAGAGAGAGAGAGAGAGATGTTCAAACACACATGATGTTGGTGTTTGAACATCTGGTAGTTGTCGTAGTTCATTGGTGTGTATTTACAACCTCACGTTACCTCAGTTTTACACGGTGACACTAACAGATTTTAAATCTAAAGAGAGAGCATGTGTTGGTTAACTTCCTGGTGTTGTGAAATGAAATCTATAAAATGGGATCGGTGCATATTTATTTACAATCTAAGTTTTATATTTGTTCTCGTGCTCGTCAATCTCACACACATTTAAATACACACTCTGAAGCCTCGTCTACCTTTTAAAATAACAGTTCTGTCCACACCAGCTTCGTTTTACAAAACGACTCCAAACACTCTGCGGGCCGGTAGATAAAGGCCACGTCAACGATCCCGCGAGTACCAGAGAACACTGTGAGCGTGCTCAGTGAGCTTATTGTCTGTTCTCAAATAGCAAAAGTAGCGAATTATTTATTTTCTTTGTTTTGTTTACATACTGAATCTTTGGTGCCATGGCGAAAACAAAGTTTGACTCGTATGGACGAACGATAACTTTACAATATGAGGAGATGAAGACGTTGATTGGGAGTCTTGTTGTACGAGATATGAACTCATCTCAGTGGTTTTCAGGAACCGTATTCTGCCAAGGACGACTCTGAAGACTTCCAAAATGCTTCGTTTAAACGTCCACACAGATACTAAGTAATCAGAGTTTATAAATCCACAGCGTAGAGGTTTAGTGATTAAAACTCCCAACCGTAGAGGAGAACACGTGTGAAGCTGCCGCTATACTCCAGATGAACACCTGTACTCTCATTCCATCTCATGGTGCGCTGCATTCAGAACCAAACACAGTGCTTGTGTTCTGGGGTCACCAGCTCACCGTCTCCCCCGTCTCTCCCCTCTCAGGGTCCAGGCTCTCCAGGCCCCCCCCGCGGCGCTGCTGGTGGCGGTGTTGAGGTCGCTGTGGAGGAAGTAACAGAGCGACTCACCCAAACTGAGCTGCTGGTCACTCAGCTGAAGGAGTTGATCCGGGAGAAGGACGCAGCGCTTCACTCCAGAGATGAGCAACTGAAGGTGAGGACGGGGGAAGAGGTCGGAGTTGTGTTAGGCACGTTATAACACACGATGAAGTCATGATTAATAACTCAACAGTCAGGTAGTGTCCTTATTGTGCAGTACACATGTTATCTATGCGCGTATTACTGATCACTTGTGCCACAATATGAGCTTTCTTCAGTTTGATACCTCGTCTGTGATTCTCTACACTAAAGACTCCTGCTTGTGTTCTCAGTATTCGTCCTTTAACTGGCTTCATATTATCTAAATAGAAGTGCACTAACCAACTAACCATCATTTTTATTGGGGATTAAATCTCTTGATTATTTTCTCGATTAATCGAGTCGTTCTTTGATCTTGTTTTGTCCACAACTCAAAGACATTCAGTTCTCCGTCACAGAGGACGAAAGAAACCAGAAAACAGTCACATTTAAGGAGCTGGAATCAGACTTTGAGTCAAAGTGATGAATGGATTATTGAAATAGTTGGTGATTCGATTAATCGTTGCAGCTCTTCACTCTTTGTGACCGTCATTGAAGCCGCAGTGAGTTTTAATAAACTTCTGAACTCCTTGTGTTTGTAATCCTGATATCATTATCTAACGTGTTTTGACACAAATGTATTTATTTATGTACAGTATATATATCTATATCTATATCTATCTATCTATCTATCTATCTAGAGATAGATAGATAGATAGAAAGTGTTTCTATGTTCCTCGTACTAGACGCAGTAGTGCTCTGGTCTGAGAGGGATTTGTCTGACTGATCCGGGCACAGCTGGTCACATGAGTTATTCTGATCCTGTTAGTCACCGACTGAGATCAACCCGGATCTAGTTAACTATTAAACCCTCGAGTGTGCGTCACAGTAATGAAGACAGGAATGTGAGATTAGAGCTCAGCTAATGTTTGGAGGGAGCTCCACTCCTCTACAGGTCGTCCTCACTCTACTGTTCTCACAATCAGAATAAACATGAGAGAAACCAACGGGACCAACTTGTTTCCAATGAAAGCAGCCAGCAGCACTAGCTTTAAAAGTTATGCTAAATATAGCACCGACCTCCCCCCAAATTATCATTATGAATGTGGCTATTGTTAGCACTCACAGCTGTTCACATAGCAGCTTGTGGAAAACACCGGCTGAATGAAATGATTGAACGGGCTTATTAACGAATATAACAAAACGGTGTCTTTAAGATACATCACCTCCCCTCAGCTCTAACATGTGTCCTGTCTCACTGAGGTAAAGAACATTTACTCTGTGATTACTCTGTGACTCAGGTAGAGAAGCAGACGTGAGGTAAAGAACATTTACTCTGTGACTCAGGTAGAGAAGCAGACGTGAGGTAAAGAACATTTACTCTGTGACTCAGGTAGAGAAGCAGACGTGTGAGTCCAAACTGTCGAAGCTGCGTCTGCAGAACAAGGCCAAGGTGACCTCGCTCACCTGTCAGCTGGAGGAGCTGAGGAGGCAGCAGGGAGGTCCGGGCACGCCCACTCACAGCAAGAAGGTAAAGACACACATTCACACCGGTGTGGCAACACACGTCAATACCTACAATGAACGCATGAAATTCCTGTTTTTATACTAATTATAATGCAGATCTCAGCAATACATGTTTTAACCACTGGAGGGCACAATGCAGAGTAAAACACACGCACCACTGGCTTATGAAGTCGTTATGATATAATGATGAATATAATAACTGCCAGTAGAGTCGACACATTTGAGTTTTTTGTCTCCTGGTAAATGTACGATGCGTGTATGATTTCATAGCGTCGTCTCTTCGTTGTCCCTCGTAGGGATCGTCAGAAGGAGAACACGCCAGTCGAGGAAAGATCGTCTTGCTAAAGAAGAAGGTGGAGGAGCTAGAACAGCAGCTCGCACGAAGACAAGAGGACCTGGAACACAAGGTCAAGTATCTTCATGTTTAAGTGTTGTTTCACCTGAGTGGTGTCGAAAAGAAGGAACCAGTTGGAGATGGTTCACTGATACAACAGACAGACAGACAGGGTTTGTATAAAGGTAATAAAGTAGTTTATGAATAGGAGATATGACTTTAAAGTTAATTATAATCCCTCTTCATAGTGGAGGTTAGTTTATTAGTTTATGTCTTTTTACCGGTTTCACTCGTTGTCTTTGTGACTCCTCACAGTTCATTTTGTTTGTTCGCAGCTCACAGAGCAGAGAGTATAAACGCCTCCGTTCATACTCGGCTACGACGCTAAGAGCGAGTATAATCGAAGCGTTAGTATAGTTGACAGTCTAACAGTGTGTGTGTTCAGGACCAGAATACACACAGAGAAACAGGAAGCCAATCCAGGTGCTCCAAAACAAAGAAATGGGGCGTGGCCACAGGCGATTTATTTGTTCGTTAAGTGTCTTGATGAAGACCTGCAGGGGTCGAAACATGTCGGCTCTTTTTAATGATTCAGCCGCTATAATGAAGGATTCTTGATATTTCTTTCCTCGTTTGTTCAAGGATTCTGGAGAGCCTGGATTGTCTTCCTGTTCATCCTGATATCTTCAGTCTTTATGCTCCACATATCTGAAACAAACTCAAGAACTCTCTGCTCTTTTAAATTAAATTCAACTATTTATTCATATCACTGCACAGTCTGCCTTTTTGTGTTTCATTCAATGTTCCCGGGTACATTCACAGGGTTGGAAGCAAACGGGCATTCAAATCTTTTTCTCTAACGATCAGCTGGTTTCTGGTTCGTTCCAGAGGAAGGAGGCGGAGTCACAGTGGCAGCGCGGCGAGGAAATGGACGCCATGCTGACGGAGAGGGACAGGAAGCTGGCAGACAAAGAGGCTTATATTGTTCACCTGCAGACAGCGCTGGCTGGAGATCAGCCCATCACACCGGCACCACAGCAGCAGGTCAGACGTCTCACAAGCTCTCTCTACAATAACATCTCTTTTTAATTCAACCCTATCATCACACCAGCGTGGTCTTTCTAGTAAACTAATCTACATTTCGAGGGAACGCAGTTTGTATGTGACATTTTAGAAGGCTTTTATTTTGAAAATCCCCCTCATAAAGTACATAATGTACTGTCATTGTGAAGTCAGGTTGGTCCTGGAAATGTATTATTTATTATTTAGTTTGACTTATTATTCACATGATTTGAAATTCAATTTCTCTCTGAAATAGAGTTTTTACTGCAGGCGGTATTTTATTTTGTCTTTGGCTCTTCACTTCCTTGTTTCCCTCCGGATACAAAAACACAAACTCGCCCACTTCTTCTGGGAGGTAGAGAGCGAGAGAAGCCTTAAAAACACAACTGTTGTTCACGACGTCCTAATTAACTAGATCCCTCGTAGACAAAGTAATCCGGTGTATATTCGATGTATTTCCCGCCCTTATTCCCAGGTATCTGTTGTTTTCAGTAGTTCATATTATCATTGCATACTTAACATTGAACCGTGCTTCACCTCCTCAGGAGGCGGAGGACGGTGGAGCGATGCAGGAGCTGCAGCTGCTGGTGCAGAGCCTCACCAGGAAGGTGGGAGAGGCAGAGGAGCGCTACAGTCTGCTGCAGGAGCAGACGGACAGCTTCAAAGAGCTGCTGGCCACGGAGAAGGAGCAGCACGTCCAGAGGGAGGAGATGTACAAGCAGAACGTACGTTCCTCTGAGGCCTCTGCTGGACTATCTCATGCTGTTGTCTTGAGTCTCATGATGTTTGTGTTTGTTTAGATCCAGACATTCAAAGATATCATGATCCAGAAAGATCACCAGGTGATGGAGATCAACCAGATGCACGAACAGGAGCTCTTCAAGCTAGTGGCCAAGTCTGACGCCAGCGCAGACTTGGACCAGGTAGTGACATCACTCATGTATTATTGTTGTTATTATTATTGTTATTATTGTTATTATGTCTAAATCAATCAGTGAGGAAACACTTGACTTATTTCTGTAAAAATGATATCTAAATATGTGTAATCCAGCATTCAGTCTGATTATATGATATTTTACGTTTTCTACTTATTTATCATACTTTCACTGTGTGATTACTTATTTTATTGTTTTGCTTATGTCTGTTGTTTGTTTGCACAGTCCACTCTGCTGCTGTGATCCTGCACATTTCCCTGCTGTGGAACTGATAAATTACTAACTTATCTTATCTCTTATTAACTTTAACTCTTTGTGATATTGTTATCATACGAGTTTATACGATTTCCTTCTGTTCAGAGGAGACTTAAGAGGGTCGAACCACAAAGTTACTGTTTCTGTGCAACACAGGGATTGTAGAAAGCTTTTCTGTGTCGGTTGTGTAATGTTAAAAACATATTTTTTTGTCTCCTCCTCAGCTTCTGAAGGCTCTAAAGCAGAAGCTTCATGAGAAGGAGGAGGTGCTTCTGGGTAAAACACAGGTCATCGATGTTCTCCAGGGAGAGGTGGACGGCCGGGACCAACAGATAAAGGTCAGGAACAACATCTCTGATGACATGCAGAGATACAGAGGGTATATATATATACATATACATATATATATATATTATAGTGGTGTAACGGACAACTGTCGATCCGTACCAAATCAATTAAATAAACCAATCGGAGGAGAGCTAGTAATGTTAGCAGCACCGCTAACGGCTAACCAACGGTTAGGAGATGTTTTCACATGAATATAAAATGGATATTAGAGATGAATTATGAGTTGCTTAACTTCCTAACACAAGCTCTAAGCTCATTATTATACTTCATTAAAAATAATAATGAAGAGATTTATTTAATCAATAAAAATACAATCTTTTACTTTCTAATCATTTGAATTGTGTGTTTATGAATAAAAAAACACTATAAATTACTAAAACAAAGTAAAAGTGTAACATTTAGAATTGTTGATGATTTACAGACTTCAGAGCGTTAAAATGATATTTGGGACGATGACAAAAAACACTAATATATATTGATATGTGATAGCCATTCCTAAACTCTTCAAATATGAAGTCACATGACTCTTCTTCTTCTTCTTCTTCTTCTTCTTCTCAGGATCTTGCGGAGCGGCTGCGTCGGCTGCACGTGGAGCGAGAGAGCCTGGCGTCCAAGATGGAGGCCGAGAAGCACGTGATGCGAGCACAACTCCGCGACCTGATGGAGAAGCAGCAGGCGGAGGTGCAGCGAGTGACGGAGCAGCATCAGGCACAGACGGATCAAACGCAGCGGGATCTCCTGGGGCAGCTGGAGGAGCTGAGGAGGTGCTCGGGAGGTGGACGCACACCCGCAGACTCCGCCTCCACGCCCGCAGACTCTGCCTTCATGCCCGCAGACTCCACCTCCACGCCTGCAGACTCCGCCTCCAGCCAAAGGATCGCGGAGCTGGAAGGTTGGTGGTTCTTTATTTTGATTGTTCAGAAGACATTCAGAGGACACGTCATGGTGGTTTAAGACAGTCAGCAGTTAGACTCTGAACATGTTTATCTGTAAGTCAGAAAACATTAAGGAAGGAAGTTAAAAAATGTGCATTACAACCGTACATTTGGTCTTTCATTAGAAGATACTCGCATCAGTTTAAACTGATATTCATCCAGATGCTATGACAGCATGCAGTTGTGTCTTTAACTCACAGAAGACCGTATGAACCCAATTTAACAGTACATCAATTAAGGCGATGGCATTCGTTATTATTAAAACACATGTAATGACTTGCTTTGATGAAGTAGTGATCCCTAAATACTGTAATGACACTCCATACAAATGTGTGGGGTGTCTTTAGAAAGCATGTTTAAATCCTATAGCCTTGAATATCTTAATCTTAATTAATATATCTTCATATCATTTGTTTGCAGCCCAAGTGAAGCAGAAAACGGAGGAAGCGAGCAGATCAGAGGCCAAGTTCCTGAAAACGAAGGCCTGGTCTAAGTCTCGGATCAGACAGCTGGAGGAGGAGCTGAAGAAGAGCCAGGTGAGATGTTCAGTTATTATGACTGTCACTGATAAACATTATTTACATGTCTGGGGATTAAACAAAGAAGGACAATAGAATAGAAACAAGAAGTCTTAAAAATCTACATTAGAGTGAATATTTATCTGCCAAATCAAATAGTTTACAGGATGTTCAACCTTTGTTTCTTTATAACGTATTTAATACTTGACTTCCTTCTTTACAGGGTTTGTATGAAGGTGATAAAGTAGTTTATGAATATGAGTTTATAGTTAATTATAATCCCTCGTCATTGTGGAGGTTAGTTAACGGTGTCACATCTCCAGTCTATGTTCATATCTCTGAGTTACACTCGTTGTCTTCTTGATTCCTCACAGTTCATTTTGTTTGTTCGCCCTCTGGTGTTTCACAGAACAGCAGAGTATAATAGCAGAGTATAATAGCAGAGTATAAT